GCTGTATACTTCTTTGAAGTATTTCTTTTCTCAATAGCAAATTGCTTTTTCTCATCGTCTAAAGCCTTTTGCTTTAGATCAATGCTTTCAGACAATTTCTGTAGTTGACTCTGACAGTCTTCAGAGATGTCTTTCTTTTCTTTAGCATTCTTCGCTCGTTCCAAAATGATTAGATGCTCAAAATCCGAGATTTGCTTTAGAAGCATCTTTGCGTTTAGCTCGATAGAGTTAATCTTATTTTCATAAGATTCTCGTTCAGTTCCAAACTTTCTTTCAACTTGAATAAATATTTTCTTTTCCTTCTCAAACTCTGCTCTTTCCAWATTTAAATTCCTTTCTGCTGTCAGAAATTTCTTCTTCTCTAAGTCCAATAATTTCTTTAACTCATTTAGATCATTCTCAGACTTATGGAACTTCTCAGTTAAATAATTTATATCTGAATTGTTCCTTGGAGAGTTCCTCTCAGCAGGTAGTTCAATTTGAACTTTTTGAWGTTTATTTGACAAATCTATATTAGACTTAGTCAATCTTTTCAAATCATCATCATAGTTTTTCCGATCCGAACTCAGATTTTTTTCAATCTTTTCAATCTTATATTCAAATTCCTTCTCGATTCGTTCACACTCCTTTTTAAGATCTTTCTTTAAGTTTTTGATATAATCCTCATTAGCATAATTTTTAACGTATAAATTTCTGTAATGCTCTTTATGGTTCACAATGCTCTTTTCTAACTCAGCAATCTTCTCTCTCATCTCCTTTATAATATCTGCCATTAAAAAAAATATTGATCAGTTAAGGATCTATGCAGTTCAAGAAAATTGATTAAAGAAAAACAAACTAAAAGAATTACACAATTTCTGGAAATTCACACAACGCTCAATTCCTCAAACTCACAAACAGATGAGATGTTAGTATGTATCAATACACCGTATTGTGTCTTAAACCGGTCAAGAAAACAACTTAACACAGACTGCTCAACCCTAAGCTTCAAATTTCTAAGAAGCTTATCCGATCAAGAGGTGTGAAATAAAACGTTCACTGCATGAATTTCTTACCCGGTCATTGAATGAAGTAAATCTGGTTAATGAATGAGACAACCGATTATTGCATGGAACTAAACCTGTCACAACATGTATCTAAACCGCACACTGCATGAAACTTAAACCGGACACTGTATGAGTCTAAACCGGACACAGCACAAGTCTAAACCGATCACAGCATAAGTCTAAACCTGTCACTGTCATTGAATAATGTAAACCGATCACAACTTGAACCTTAAACCTGTCACTGCATGAATTTTAAATCGGACACTTCAAGTAACTAAACCGGACACTTCATGAATGTAAACCTGTCAACACATGAATACAAACCGGACAGCACATGAGTGTAAACCGATCACAGCATGAAGATCACCTAAACCGGTCAATATTTCGATTAAAACAGCCTCTAAACCGCTCAACAAACATGATTCACACATACTTGACAATCAAACTAAGATCAAATC